CAACTTTTAACTGTGAATGGGTAATGTTCAATAGGAATCACGTTGTAAACACGATTAAAATGGTTGAATAAACTTACGTAACCACATGAAACATTTATTCATAATTTACAAATATTATGTAAAATCCTTAAACGTACTTATGAGAAATATATATATATACCTTCTAGTTTTTGTTTAGTGAACCTTAACATTTCATTTGATTCATTCAATATAAATCATTTTCTGTTAATTCTTGTAATAGATAAAAACTCAACTGAAAATTATCATGGAAAATATTCAAAGTTCATTAGATTTATCCATAGTTAGTGAGTCGTGTTATGTATTTATTCTATCGTATTTAACTGAACAACATATACCAGCTTACTATGTACTTATGCCGCCGACAACTATGGAAGGACGTTTATTTGGGTAAGTTTATTTATTTATTCTCCTTTTCTTTTTCGCTTTACATCATCATTTGATTAGAATAGTCACACACTAATTTGTTTATAATTTCTCCTACAATAAGTAATAATAATCAGTTTATTCCAAAAATTTGGTTTGTTTGTAATAAAACTAGAAATAACAGTCAACACTTAGCACAAACATGACTAAATATGGTCAATACAATTTTTTTTAATTATACAAATCAATCAATCACAATCAGCCAATAAAATGCGAACATGAAATTTTACAATAAAATGCTAGCTACTTATAAGTAACACAATTTGAATATATAAATATCATAACCACCTACTCCGTTTCATAGACTTCACTAACCATATGAAATTCAGTCAGTCAGCTACAACGTAGGACCAGGCACATATATGCATCGGTCCAAGTTGCCATACCGCATTAACACGACAAGATGGACACCGGATTCATAAAGGTAGTTAATTCAGAGGCGTTAATATATAGAAGGAAGATTGCATATAAGGACATAGTACAGGAAGAAAGAATTAGTTCGTAGTAAGATTTGAAGCGATTTTAATCTCTTAGTTTAAGGGAAGACAGAGAGTGTATACATCGACGCCATTGCGATCGATTCTGAGCCATGTCACACACAGTCTCCAACCATTGGTTACGATAGTCGCGCTGACTCCAACCAAGTAGTCTGCATCTACCAACATGGCTCAGACTAGAAGTTAGTGACTTCAATCACTGATGCCACGTTTTGGTTTGGCCACCCCTAACTTTCTTCCAACCATCCCGAACACCGGTTAGCATTGCACGTCGTGGTAATCGGTGTTCAGGCATACGTAACACGTGGCCCAACCATCTCAGTCGATGAAGATTCATAACCTCATCAATTGATTTACCGTCATTCCGTAATACCCTGCGTCTAACCTCACTATTACTTACCCAGCAGATGCCAGCAATATTTCTAAGGCATCTGTGGTCGAATATTAGTAGCTTACGAGTGTCTTCTACTCTTAATGGCCATGTTTCGCTGCCGTAAATTAAAACAAAACGGACTGCTGCGCAGTATACTCGTCTTTTTATTGATAGACAGATATCTCGCCTTCGCCATAGGTGACGTAAGTTGGCAAAAGCCAAACGAGCTTTTCGAATCCGTGCTGAGATTTCGTCAGACACCAACCCATTAGGGCTGATCAGACTTCCAAGATAAGTGAAGTTGTCAACGCGTTCGATTACTTCACTCCATATCCTAAGTTCAGGTGTTGACGCAGACCAGTCCTGAAGCAGCAGCTTGCATTTAGAGGGAGAGGAAGCGCATTCCAAACATTCTGGCATTGTTGCTTAGTGCTACCAGAAGACTCTGCATTTTATCAGGGTCTTCACCAAACAGGACTATGTCATTTGCGTATTCTAAGTCGATAAGTTGACCTCCTGGAAGGAGATCAATACCCGACAATTCAGTAGACGAGAATGTTATTTCCATCAGTAGGTCACTTGTTTGTAACGTAGCTTTATCATCCCTGAACTAAATATATAATACTCCTCAACTTAATGCGCTTCTTTAAATTAGTAGTCTGTATTGAAATTATACGTAGTTTGTTGTTGCAGATATTACTAAAATAGTAATCTAAATCTATGTAATCTGAATTCAGCTTTTATCAATTTTCCGTTGCAACAAATGCAACGAATTCCTTTTTCAAGAAAGAAAATCACCATTTAAACTTTTTTTCTCATTTTCTTTCCATAAAAATTGATATAAATCGATAGTTTGTTAGCGGCAGCTGGAGGTATGATTTCCAAATCTTCAGATCTATTCACTTTTACACAAAATTCTTCATTTACAATCAAATCATCAACAACTGGACTTTATCCAAATATTCATAATTTATCATCAAATGATTGTAAATCATCCAATGTGAATATTTCATTACATTCGAAACGTTCAGCTTATTTACGTAAAATCACCAGTCTTTTAGGATATTCTATATTATGTGATAATCCTTTACCATCGAATGAACTAGACGATTTACTTATGTTAGATAATTTTTTGAGTTCATTTATCAAAACTCAGATGCTATCGTCGTCATCACCATTACCTTTATCATCAACATCAAGAACTGACTCATCAATATTCTCAGTTGTTTGGAATAGAATGTCATCAATGATGCTTAATTTAACTAATAATTTAAATCTTAGTACCAGTTCATCGGTAACAACAATTTTATCATCACCAACTTCTACAGATAATGATTCATTAACAAAATCCCAACTAGATTCTTCACAAACTGTTAAAATCTTAACCTGGTTACGTATATGTAATTTGTTATCTGAATTAGAATCTGTATCAGGTCAAATTGGATGGCGTAAGTTGATTTTATTCATTATTTATAAATAATATTTTAGATCCTGGAATAAAATTGATCAGAAAGCCTAATAATTCATTGAAGTTTATTGTAAGTAAGAAATAACTGATATTCCTGTACAAGACGTTATCTACATCACTTTGTGTTTACTATCATAGGTTTCACTACCAGGCTTCTTCGATGGAACCTTAATAGTGTCTTCGAAGTTGCAAAGATACTTTTCTGATAGATTACAGCAAACAAGAAACCTTAACAAAACATTGATTGTTGTTGATTCCATGCAGTGAATCAACATGTGGTACGATGCGCCAAAATATTTAGTTACTTTTACTATTATTAGAAAGGACTTGAACTATTCCGTTAAGAAACTTGACTAAATTTCGACCAACCTTAGTTAGTGCATGCGCATCGTACGCAGATTGCCTTGATGTAACCATTTTATGGTGTAGACTTAGTAGTTGAATTGAAAGGTTCGAGTCTCAGTGTGAATATCAATACTGAGATGTGACAGTTGCATCCGGCTGATGTGTTGGAAATGGAATGAGATGCGCATCCCGTATTCCACTGTCCAACTTTAAAAATCACTGGATAACTGGTTCATCTTTGTTTAACATGATTACACAGTTATTAATCTGTAGGAGATTAAATCTAGCACCTTTAGAACTTGCAAAAAATAAAATATCACTCATTCACTCAATTTCAGTTAGCTTACTGTACAGTGCAATAGTTATCTTATGCGACTTCACTCCTTCCTAACCTGATTAACTTGGTAAGTTACAACTCGTTATTAGAACTTTGAAAAATTAAATCCATATCTAAACTAGCCAATAGATTACATATATGATTATTATTGTTATTTAACTGATAATTTTCATACTGAAATAATGTAACTATTCAGTTCTCATATGATGTGATCAGTTCTTCAATATGTCAATCGGTTGACGAAATTGACGGTGTGACGCAATTTGAAAGTGTGACAGAACTCCAGTTTTCCGACCACATATATTCTCTTGGTGAACACAGTGAATGTGTGATGACTTGTGAGATGGACGTTGGTAAAATAAACAGAATGCAAGAAGGATGAGCAAAATCGATTCTGCAATATATCAATAAGTTTGTGCTGAAAATTTTCACTTATAATTACATATTTGTATTTAAGTAGATTTATAATGCAAAAGCTTAAAAAAATATTAACTTCTTAGCCAATTTCTAGACTACCATAGTACTTGATATTTGACACTGTAACTAAAATCACAAAAGAGAAATTCTCAACACATTTTATTTCCAAAGTTAGTCCATGTATGTAAAGAAAAATACAGGATATTTATAGTTTCAAATGCCTTAGAAACATTAAAAACGATACTATAATTAGCAATATCTTTTTTTTAGTTGTTCAGACAGATTCCAGAAATGCATAATAATAAATTGTTTTCTAAATTTTATTAAGATATTTTCACAAATATTGATTATTATTATTATTGTTATTACTAATAGTATGAGGACTTGTGAAGATTGTGGTATTTTAACAGTTGAATTCATGAGTCCATTTAAACTAAACCACTGTTGAAAACCTGGAAACACTGGACAGCCGTTTCGTCCTTGTATGGGACTCCTCAGCGCTGCGTATATACCATGCCGCCTCGTGAGAATAAAAGTTTGTACCATTAAACCACTGAGCCGGCATCCAACGGTGTTAATGTTTAACTTAAGCGCTCTCACGAGAGACTGATAGGTCTTCGGTTCGTATCTCACGAGGCGGAATAGTGGATGCGCACTGCTGAGGAGTCCCATACTAGGACGAAGCGGCTGTCCAGTGTTTCCAGGTTTTCCATGGTGGTCTAGCTTCAATTGATTCACGAATTCAATTATTAAATTACTAGAATATTCTCTGATTATAACACACATATATGTTTTTTTCTGTTTATGATTAAATTCTTTCTATTTTGATTTTCTTTAATAATTCTCTTTAGAAAAATCCACTTCACAAGAATTTAAACAAATTGTTGAATTATGTAATGAAATTATTTTATTAATAAATCGTTCATGTTCACGTGTAGAATTTTTATCTAAATTGGACAATTCCAAACTTCATCATCCTCATCATCATTATCCTTTAAACCATAATAATAAACAAGAGAATAATCTTATCTATAAAATACCAGATTATTTTATTCATGCAATTATTTATTGGTTATTAAATAATTTAACTATTAATACACAAATCAATAATAATAATAATAATAATAATAATAATAATAATATGATTCTATCAATGAATAGTAATATAAGCATTATTACAACTATTATGCCACATTCAATAAATGCATGTTTATCAAAACCATTAATTTATAGTTTATTATCAATGAATTCATTATTAGATCAAGAAACATCTAGTCGATTTGTACAATTATTAAATGCAACAATTTGGTCTGTTATTGATAATGGTAATTTACTTTTCATTAATTAATTAATTAATTAATTAATTAATTAATTAGTTTATTTATTTATTTGGACATATAAATATTGATAGAAACGGGGAACCAAGCATAGATGCATTACATAATAACAATAAGGCTGTGAAAAGATAGAGAATATAAAGTGTATATAAGAAAAATGAAAACAACAATGAACAAGAATTAGTGTATGAGAATAAAATAATAATAATAATTGTAACGTGTGAGACTGAAGGTTATGATAAGCAGCGTTTATATCGATCGATCACAGTGGACACGTAAACACGCAAGGACGACCTAGCGCCCTGATTGGCCCTGCTTCGCTGTCTGTCCTAGCCAGTTGAGTCAAGAACACAAGTCACAGCCTCTGAGTTACGAATCATTGTATTTCAGACATACTCTATTTATATACCAAACAAACAAACCACATTGTACCATAAAATAAAAAACAACATTTACACAATATTTAACAAGTGAAATAAACATCGACCAATAGGAAATGTACATTTAAGGTCCAAGGCCACCATAGACTTAACACGATAATTATTGGTATATTTTTCTGACTATCCTAACAATAATAATAATAATAATAATAATAATAATAATAATAATAATAATAATAATAATGGGAGAGGCAGCTCAGTTAAAGAAAAATTACAATAAAAAAGAATCCTCTTCATTAAAGAAGTTACGTTCATTTTTTTTTATAAAGAAAGTAAAAGAAAGTTACAGGAGGAATGCCATTGGTTTCTATTCTAATGTCTCAAGTCACTATGTTCCACCATATCTAAGATCCCAAGCAGGGAGTTGTGAAGGAACAACATAAGCCAGCCCTTTGTAGCTTTCTTTCATACCATGACACCATGTCAAATAAGGATCACCCCTCGACTTTTTCCAACCAGTCCCGGCGTCAGTAAATGATGTACGATGTGGACAACATTCGTAGAACATGTACAAGCCACCGAAGTCGGTGTTTCAAGATCGTGACACCGATTTCATTATCGTCTCTATGCCCGAACACACGATGCCGAATCCCTGCATTACTAACATGGTGTTGCCACTGGATGTCAGCAATTCTTCGGAGACAACGACGATCAAACACAGAGAGTCGTCTAACGTCCTCAACTCGGAGAGACCAGGTTTCACAAGCATAGAGCAAAACTGCTCTCACCGACGCGTTGTAGATCCGACCTTTTACAGCCAGACTGACATCACGAAGGCGCCCAAGATGTCCCAGCTTGGTATAAGCCGCTCTGGCTTCCACTATTCGTGCATTGATCTCATCACTCACATCTCCACCAGCACTTATACAGCTACCCAGATACACGAACTTCTCGACTACTTCTGTCTGCTCACTGCAAGGAGTGCATGTTCGTGGTCCTGCCGGTCTCGTAAAAGCACTTTGTACTTGTAAGGTGCAAAGCACACTCCATACCTACGGGCACTGAGTGCTAACTGGTTAAGGGCGGATTTCATGAGTTGGGTATTATCGCACAGTAAGACAATATCATCCACACACTCAAGGTCGAGAAGTCTTTCTCCAGGCAATAGGTCTACACCACCCTTACTTATATCTATCAGAGCTGTTTCCAGAATGTCATCAATGGCAAAGTTGAATAGGAATGGTGAGATTGGGCAACCCTGCCTAACCCAACTGCTTGGGTGAAACAATGGAGAGAGGTGGTTGTATGCCCTCACTCTGTCTGGGGTGTCTCCATATAGAGCTTTCAAGATATTGATAAACTTCTCAGGCACACCCACTTTCAATAGATAACCTCAGAAAAAAGTCCTGTCCAACTAATAAAAGTTGACCCAGATGTCAAGAACTCCACTATTGTTGGCCTGTGATAAGTATGACGGTGTTCTAACATTTGGCGGAGGGTGAAGATATGATCAGTCCATCCTCGACCAAAATGAAAACCAGTCTGCTCCTCGAGAGTCAATCTTCCTCGGGTTTTGAACAATCTACAAACTATGACGGATTTTTGGCGGCTCAAGAGTTAGAGTTCCTTTGAATTCCGCCTCGTCTGGTTGATCAGTCGTCACAGGCCATGGAGGGTAGGACAGTCTGATCGATGTTGCCGGAGCAGCAGACCAGTTTTACTGCTTCTTGAAAAACTGCCCATCGTAGGCGAATATGATGGAAATACATCGTTTCTCACACTAATTTCTTCTTGCTTTGATGGAACTTTCTAATCCAACAGCATATAACCGACTACTAATGGGGATCCAATCTATGAGTGCTGCCTCAACTCTAGCGCTTAGACCGACACCAATATCTGCTAAACCTATTTAACTGTGTCTATGATAAACATGCCCTCAACTCATTACAACTAGTTTATTGGTTCTCTTAGGTCAACTACTTAACAGTAGCTTAAATATTAATGAAAACATGAATTATCATCTTGTCAACGCTACAGTCTTCATTGCTAATGTAGATAAAATTATATACTATATTGCCAACCATAGAAGACACTAGAAAATGTCCTTAAAATTTTCACCCAGTTTTTTAGGCAATGAATAAACCGTTTGTATGAATCAAGAATATTTGATTTAAAAAATTATGACATTCAACTAGTTTATAGTCTTTATGAGTTAGGTCACCTATTCCAACCTTGACACTTGTAACGTATGAGTTCGACTTGTTACCATGATGTCAGAGAGAAAAGAAACTATTCTACCACTGACTTACAACCTGATTGGTTGGTATGCAGAATGAGTAGACAATTGCACTGAAACTCTATACCCCAATTTATCCGATTCAACTCGCTCAAAAATATTTAACTAACAGGACCATGACTCACAAGGAATCAGAAAATTATGATGGTGGATGTGTCACTCAATTTCGTGGATTAGTTGAAGTTAGACATGAAGACCGTTGGGTGCCGGCTCAGTGGTCTAGTCGGTTAAGCGCCTGGCGCAAGGCTGACAGGCTGTGGGTTCGAATCCCGCGAGGCGGGGTCATGGATGCGTACTGCTGAGGAGTTCCGCAATAGGACGGAACGGCCATCCAGTACTTCCAGGTTTTCCATGGTAGTCTAGCTTCAATTGACTCATGATCTCAACTGTTGAAATTACTATAATATCCACAAAAACCGCTTCTGATACTAATTAGAATTATGTCTAAAATAGGACAGTAGAGTACAAAAAAATATAAAATACAAGAAATACGTTTAGATTACAATAATTCGAAATGGAAGTGAATACGACAATAGTCTATAAATTAGTCGAAATCTTCTGATTTATCTAATAAAACTATCATATTGACTTATATATTTCCAGTTCAGTGAAATAACATTCCAAGAGATACCTTTCATTGTTTATCACTTCTTCTTCATTCTTCTTCTCGTTGCATCATTATTCTAATTTAACTGGGTTTTATTCACTAAATGATGATGTTTGTTTTAGTGTATCTTATCTCTCACCTTCTTTTCTTTTTTTTAATAATCATTCATACAGCTCCTAATGAAATTTCGCCAAAAGATCGTTTCTTTGGTATATATGAAATTTATTCACATATTTATTTCTTACAAAATAAATTAGATTTCCTACATTCTGATTTATTCATATCTATGTGTATACAGAATAGTTTACATTTACCATTACTATTTATCATATTATGTCGATTAAATTACTTATATCGGTCGATGAATAATAGTACATTGTCAACCATTCATGAAGAACATAATATGATTATTGCTGATAGTATGCATTGGCTACATTCTATAGGAATTTAGTAAGTTTACATGTTTATCGATTGTTTGTTTATTACATGCATGTGTCTTTTTGGAATTGAATGTGATCAGTTTAAAAGGAAATTTCTTTACCAACAACTAATGTTAAGTAGCAAATCATTGAAAACTATAGAGTACTTGATATTCAATTCGTTCTACTAGATATGCAATAAAAGCACTCTTCTTCCAATCGATACGTCAAAAGTTCTATCCATGATATTCATTTATTTTATATTTTGAGCAGTTGACTAGTATCACTAGTCATCGTTACTCGTAACATTAGTGGATATTTATCTTAATTCAGAAACGATTGAACTACTTATTTTTCTGGGTTTTCTTTTCTTTTGTCAAAAAGTTTTACATATTGGTTAGCGTTAAAACCTAGAAAGTACACTTCAACCTATTTGAAATCAGTCAGCTAAAATATGATTATAACTTTGTGATTGTGTTAGTCAGCTTCATTGAGGATCATACTCATACAAATCGTGTGATTTTCTAAATGTTAGTATTGCTTACATATCCCCTCTCTCAGCTAATATTAGCGTTAAATAGATCATTGAAAAAGATTTATTTCTAAACTGTGTTCATATTCTTTTTGATTATTTTGATAGTTATCAACAACGGAAATCTTAATTCTCAATTTTGTATACCGTTTACACCAATCAATGATCATTAGTCAGTCATATGCAATGTAGAACCTGACACATATCCATCACCCCAAGTTACCGATCCCCAATGGCACAGCAAGATAAAAGTATCAAGTTATTTCCCGGAATAGTAGAAGCAGTAAGACTATCAGTAATAACAGAAAATATTGGATGTAGCAAGAAAAGAAACAATATGTTATAAGCAAAATTTAAGATTCTAGAAATAGGCGGAGTTAAAGGATGAACACAATTTTGCCATTGTGGATAATTCTGAGCCATGTTATCCAGTATCTCAAACTATTAGTTGTGATATGCGTGCGGATCCCAATCCAGTTATCTACACCTACCTATATGTCTAAGTCTGGCTGACTTCGCAGACTGGTCCAACATTTTGGTTTGGCCACACCTTCCTTTCTTTCAGATAATTCTTACACTAGTCAACATTGGCTGTCGAGGTACATAGCGGTCAGGCATACTTAACATACATCCCAGATGATGATTTACTACCTCATCAACCGATTAACCATCTTCACGTAGTATCCTGTGTCTAACTTCTCGATTGCTCATTTAGTAGTTCCAAGATATATGAACAGTGGCTCGGAGATATTTATGATCGAACACTAGTAACCTACGAATATACTCTACTCTTAATCGCCATTCTTCATACTTATAAAATAGATGAGAGCGGACTTTTGAGCAGTAAACTCCCCTCTGGCACAAGTGACGCCAGTTGCCCAAAACGAACCTAACTTTCTGAATTCATTCTAAGTTTTTTTTTTAGACACCAGCTGTTAAATCTTTGGTTATCTGATCCAGTTGTCTTTATTATTTAGTATTCTTCAGACACTGCCTAACTCAGCTAGTCCCCAAGATCAGAACACGGCTTAGACAGAAACGTAATTATATTTAAAAGTAAATCAACTTAAATGAGAGTGAATTTATAGTAAGAAAAATGTTAGTATATTTATAATTTTACTCAAGGCGATTCTAGAGCGGCTAAGAGTTGACCCATCAGTGTGCTTCAACATACTCGTATGTGTAACATGCTTTAATCCAATCTATTTCCTGCTAACACCAACCATCTAGGATTTATGAGACTTTTGAGATAGATGTTATGGTCGAAGCAATCAACTACTTCACTCCCTATCATTTATTTAGGCGCAATCAGTTGCTGAGTAGTAACCAGTGTTTTATTTTTCAGACGTAAGTGCTGAACAACGTCACATTGATTACTATTCATTGGTTGGTTAGTGTTGACGTGTATTTTTTTACATAATTGGTCGTTCATATTCTGACTATTAACTCATTAGTAACGTCTCTGATTTGAAACTGGGCGGTATTGGTTGGAACCAAAACGATTGAGTTACGCAAAAATCTTAAATTAAAAACAAAAGATTTGTCCATAAAACGCTATTTTCGTCACTATTATTGCAGTATATTTTATCACTCTCAATTCATGTGATGTATATGGCATTTATGCATGCCTAAGTACAATCCAAGAGGAAGTACTAATTACTACTATAGTTAATGTCACAATCATTTATTAACTATTGACATTAAACTAAATACCAATATTTAGCTGTATCAACTTGATAGTAATAGCTAGCAACCAGTTGAAACGAGAACTAAATAATATTGAATATGGAATTTGTGGCTATTCAACATATGTACAATAAACACATAGAATGACAATTAAAAATGTTAAAGAATTATTATTACAATAATAAGATAGGTTGATTAGTACGAACTTTCAAAATGGAATATATATGATCATGTACTTGGTCAGTTGGTTACATTACTCTCAGAATCAATAATGTGTGAATCATTTCATCAGATTATTATCAAATGATCATTGTACATTTTTAATCTCCCCTAATTTTTTTTTTAAAAATATGTAGCTATATGAATGGAATTGATGATCGATCATTTCAACTTAACGGATGGATATTATTCTTAAATTTTATTATTCAATTAATATCTACATCAAAAATAAATTTCTTCAATAATGAATCATGTTGTTTCAACCATCCAGCATGGTGTTCACAACGTTCTAATCATCATGATATTCCTAATAATGATGATATTTGTTCATCTGATTTTCTTTGTAAACGTTTATCTGGAATTTTAAATGAACTCAGAAATGCAATAATGGTAAGATTAAAAAAGAAGAAAATAAATTTAACTGAGGAAAAAATTGTACAACTTAAAAAGTAAGTTAGTCGGTTACTAATTATAGTGTGATCATATGAATATGTTGTTTATTAATTTATACTACTGTCATATTTAAAAGTAGTTTAATGTATTTAACGAAAGTACGTATTCTCATGGTTTAATTATCAATGTTTTACGTTGATTTATTTTATCTAGACTATGCACTTTTATAGAATGCCTATGTTGTATTCTTGAAGCATGGATGATTAGTACTCATTCAGTTGGATTGTTGAATTTAGAGAGATTAAGTTGTTTAACACCATCAAATGAATCTTCTGACGGTGCCAGAACTGAGGACATTACAAATATGGAAGAGGGTAGTTCAAAAGAATTGAAACAATATACCTTTGTTACTCAAGATAAATCAGTTGATAATACAAATCCAACAGCTTCTATAATTTCTTCTCTTCTTATACGATTGAAATCTATTACATTAATTGAAGCTTATCAATATTTGTGCCTTCAATTTTGGACTGATCTTAAACCATATGTTAAACAAATTTTACAAAATTCTTCATTTACATCACAATTATCGTCGTTACGAATATAATAATGGATAATAGTTGTATTTATTATCATTTATATCCTTATTTTCATTGTTATTATTAAGTCATATAAACTGTTCCCCATCAAATCTAATTAACAATAATATCATTACACCTATTTTTCTATTTACAATCATTCAGATTGGATTAAATGTGTGAATTCCCTTTTCAGATTTAATAATATATTCAAAAGAGAATATTAGAACTTCAGTCAAATAGTTGACCTATTCATTTGTTGCTTTATATTCACTGTCGCAGACTCTATCTCTCATCCAATATCTAGGCATTCAGTTAAATAGTGTACCGCTAAAGTCATCATTATCTACTGAGTATTCTTTGAACTTTAGTCTATAAATCTGTATTCAATCAATGGATTATATGAATTTTCGAATTAGATAAATGATGATAAAAACGGTTGGTCATTTGACCTCTGTATCTTGTAGTATTGCGTCTTGTGTGTGTATGTTTTTATATTTGTAAAGATTATCCAATATTTCTATCATTTTAACATGTAATGATATAAATGTGCTTTCATGCATGATTTTGTTTTTCTTATTATTGTACAATCGTGATATATTTGCTATTCGTTATCGTTTTTTCATAACCCTTTCATTCTTTTTTTATCTATACCTTACTCGTCACTCAATTCTTTTATCATTGTTCTACGCTGTAGCAAACAAAGTTTATCCTGACTATTTTTTCACCCTTAATTTTGGTGTGTTTTTTTCTGTTTCTACTGTTCAAACTAACTTATGATAATTTGTTCAATTTATTGATTTCAGAGGTGCAGATATATTTATGCGTTTGTAAGTTTGTTTATAATTTTGGCACAGTAGCCTGAATATGAGATCAAGTCTGAGGGGGTTTATGTCTCAGAATGGAAATGATACCTTTAAATATTTTTCAAGCTAAAATGCAATTGTCTATATTTTCCAGCTCACAAGTCATTAGCTTCAGATAATGGAGTATATCAGTTACCATTTTACCACTTACTTAGTTGATTGCGTCGATCATTGTCATCTAGTACACACTGGATTTAGTTTTTCTCTAAGGAATATTCACAATCGATATGACCACGAGTACTGACCGCTGTTATGTTCCTATAGTTGTTTACTGCTGATGAAACTCCATCGACCAAGTTACGATGACGATACTAGTCTAAGTGACTCGGGACATAACGTGCACTATCTTTTTATATTTGATGGCTGGAGGTAGTCGATATTAAACTCTGGGCCTAGGTCTTGTACAATAAACTAGCTTAATTCTCTAAAGGTATTACAACATTAGTTCTCAAAAAATGATCTATAACAAAACTGATTTTGTACAACCAAAAATGCCTGATGCCGAAGTTCAACCAAAACAGTTGGCTTTGGTATTCAATACTTAGATTTCATTTCAAACTATTCATTCGGTTTAATAGATAAAGAATAAATTTTGCTTAAAAACCACAGTTTCTTTAAACTTCTGGAAAACTCATGTTTATTATTTGTAAGGAAAGAAATCAATTCACTTGATCAACATGTCTCTATCTCGGATTTTATGCTTTGATATAGTTTGAACGAAAATCACTAATTCATAAGTTATCTTAGGAAAATAGTTCCATCCAAAGAATCTTTTAGGGAATTTTAAGCTTACGACTGAGGTACATCTGAATTTTCAAAATCAAAAGACGCTATTAATCTGGGATACGATACTATAAGAGACAAAGACATGAATAATAAAGTTTACAAACATAAAGTCGTGAGGTGTCCAGACATCGGTAACTACATTAAAGTCACAGTCAACAGGGAAGTGAATCTTTCAGATACATGAATAGGAATTGGATTACAACACGCCATAAAATAGGGAACAATATGGCTGTATCAAATAAATACCAACAATTAACGTACTAAATTAAGCGCCACCCCTTTAAAATATGCAAGCTGCTCAGAATGAACAAATTTTAAATAACTAACGTGCATAAAAGTGAAAATAGTTTGAGACATTGGATAAAAATCGAAATATTTAGTGTTAACGGAACATTACACCAGGGAACCATCAAACTTTACGAGTCTCAAAATTATTGTTAGTGATCAGCTACTGCATGTTAATAAGTAGTATAGTTGAAAAACAAGTGGGAAGTCAGAAAATGTTCAGTACTAAGCGGAATTGTCACTGTCTAATGGTTCAGTTTATTGATTATCTAATGTACAACCTTTAATAAAGGGGGTCAGTAGAGAGGAGAAATATTTTTTTACAACATTTGTTATGACCCTATATGTTAATTTATGTCTTAAACTATGCGACGTCGTAGGCGCCTACTATTAAACAGTCCCATATTAAGACGAAACGGCCGTTCAATCCTTCCAGGTTTTTAATGGTGGTCTAGCTAAGATCAGTTCGCAACCGGATTCAACTTCAATCATTTGTTATTGTGATAAATAACGACGCTGTGAATTACAATGAAGCTGTAAAAATAATATTAAGTGCCTAACGAAATCATTATAGGATGAAATTAATTAGAATGATAACAGTGATATTAATCGATAATTGATTTCATTATTCGTATCATGAAGTAAACTTGATTATACAATTGTTGGAAATCATGAATCACCGGACAGTTGCATCGTTTTAGTATGGTGCTCATTAGGAATGTTCATCAACAACCCCATCAGAAACTATACCCAAACCCTCGGGTTTCACAGCAGGCGCTTAATTTTAAGGCCATCTAGAAATGTACACAACTAACTTCAACCAACCACTTGGTACCAACCGAATGGTTTGAAGGTTAACTGCTCGCTGCAAAACCAAAGAGTATGGAGATCAGTCTTGTATGGGGTTATAAATATAGACCTCCAAAGAATCCTCAAATTGCTGTTCAACGAACCCTGGTATTTAACGGTTTTCTGACTATGTTCAGTCCATAGTGTAAACTATAGGGACATATCAATCATCACCTAAGAGCAATTTAGGGAAAAAGGTAAAGGTGAGATAATAGATTATTTGAAACTCTATCCACGTAACGAAATAACTTTACGTATTTCTTATGAACATAGGCTTTTACTTTTGTTGAATTCGGTTCTGAAAAATTCAGACTAAAACATTTCTGTTTCCAGCTCGAATCATAATCACCCTTTTTTTAATCCTAACTTTCTTGTCAACTTAATCAGTTTGAAATACTTTGTCGTTAACTTTTCCGTGAAACGTTCTCGTGCAAGAACGATAGGTCCTGGGTTCGAATCTCATTAGGTGGGATCTTGAATGAACACTGCTGAGGAGTCCTGTACTAGGACGTAAAGGCCGTCCAGTACTTTCAGGTTTTCTATAATGGTCTAGCTTTAATTGACTCATGATCTCAACTGTTGAAATTACTATAATATCCACAAAAACCGCTTCTGATACTAATTAGAATTATGTCTAAAATAGGACAGTAGAGTACAAAAAAATATAAAATACAAGAAATACGTTTAGATTACAATAATTCGAAATGGAAGTGAATACGACAATAGTCTATAAATTAGTCGAAATCTTCTGATTTATCTAATAAAACTATCATATTGACTTATATATTTCCAGTTCAGTGAAATAACATTCCAAGAGATACCTTTCATTGTTTATCACTTCTTCTTCATTCTTCTTCTCGTTGCATCATTATTCTAATTTAACTGGGTTTTATTCACTAAATGATGATGTTTGTTTTAGTGTATCTTATCTCTCACCTTCTTTTCTTTTTTTTAATAATCATTCATACAGCTCCTAATGAAATTTCGCCAAAAGATCGTTTCTTTGGTATATATGAAATTTATTCACATATTTATTTCTTACAAAATAAATTAGATTTCCTACATTCTGATTTATTCATATCTATGTGTATACAGAATAGTTTACATTTACCATTACTATTTATCATATTATGTCGATTAAATTACTTATATCGGTCGATGAATAATAGTACATTGTCAACCATTCATGAAGAACATAATATGATTATTGCTGATAGTATGCATTGGCTACATTCTATAGGAATTTAGTAAGTTTACATGTTTATCGATTGTTTGTTTATTACATGCATGTGTCTTTTTGGAATTGAATGTGATCAGTTTAAAAGGAAATTTCTTTACCAACAACTAATGTTAAGTAGCAAATCATTGAAAACTATAGAGTACTTGATATTCAATTCGTTCTACTAGATATGCAATAAAAGCACTCTTCTTCCAATCGATACGTCAAAAGTTCTATCCATGATATTCATTTATTTTATATTTTGAGCAGTTGACTAGTATCACTAGTCATCGTTACTCGTAACATTAGTGGATATTTATCTTAATTCAGAAACGATTGAACTACTTATTTTTCTGGGTTTTCTTTTCTTTTGTCAAAAAGTTTTACATATTGGTTAGCGTTAAAACCTAGAAAGTACACTTCAACCTATTTGAAATCAGTCAGCTAAAATATGATTATAACTTTGTGATTGTGTTAGTCAGCTTCATTGAGGATCATACTCATACAAATCGTGTGATTTTCTAAATGTTAGTATTGCTTACATATCCCCTCTCTCAGCTAATATTAGCGTTAAATAGATCATTGAAAAAGATTTATTTCTAAACTGTGTTCATATTCTTTTTGATTATTTTGATAGTTATCAACAACGGAAATCTTAATTCTCAATTTTGTATACCGTTTACACCAATCAATGATCATTAGTCAGTCATATGCAATGTAGAACCTGACACATATCCATCACCCCAAGTTACCGATCCCCAATGGCACAGCAAGATAAAAGTATCAAGTTATTTCCCGGAATAGTAGAAGCAGTAAGACTATCAGTAATAACAGAAAATATTGGATGTAGCAAGAAAAGAAACAATATGTTATAAGCAAAATTTAAGATTCTAGAAATAGGCGGAGTTAAAGGATGAACACAATTTTGCCATTGTGGATAATTCTGAGCCATGTTATCCAGTATCTCAAACTATTAGTTGTGATATGCGTGCGGATCCCAATCCAGTTATCTACACCTACCTATATGTCTAAGTCTGGCTGACTTCGCAGACTGGTCCAACATTTTGGTTTGGCCACACCTTCCTTTCTTTCAGATAATTCTTACACTAGTCAACATTGGCTGTCGAGGTACATAGCGGTCAGGCATACTTAACATACATCCCAGATGATGATTTACTACCTCATCAACCGATTAACCATCTTCACGTAGTATCCTGTGTCTAACTTCTCGATTGCTCATTTAGTAGTTCCAAGATATATGAACAGTGGCTCGGAGATATTTATGATCGAACACTAGTAACCTACGAATATACTCTACTCTTAATCGCCATTCTTCATACTTATAAAATAGATGAGAGCGGACTTTTGAGCAGTAAACTCCCCTCTGGCACAAGTGACGCCAGTTGCCCAAAACGAACCTAACTTTCTGAATTCATTCTAAGTTTTTTTTTTAGACACCAGCTGTTAAATCTTTGGTTATCTGATCCAGTTGTCTTTATTATTTAGTATTCTTCAGACACTGCCTAACTCAGCTAGTCCCCAAGATCAGAACACGGCTTAGACAGAAACGTAATTATATTTAAAAGTAAATCAACTTAAATGAGAGTGAATTTATAGTAAGAAAAATGTTAGTATATTTATAATTTTACTCAAGGCGATTCTAGAGCGGCTAAGAGTTGACCCATCAGTGTGCTTCAACATACTCGTATGTGTAACATGCTTTAATCCAATCTATTTCCTGCTAACACCAACCATCTAGGATTTATGAGACTTTTGAGATAGATGTTATGGTCGAAGCAATCAACTACTTCACTCCCTATCATTTATTTAGGCGCAATCAGTTGCTGAGTAGTAACCAGTGTTTTATTTTTCAGACGTAAGTGCTGAACAACGTCACATTGATTACTATTCATTGGTTGGTTAGTGTTGACGTGTATTTTTTTACATAATTGGTCGTTCATATTCTGACTATTAACTCATTAGTAACGTCTCTGATTTGAAACTGGGCGGTATTGGTTGGAACCAAAACGATTGAGTTACGCAAAAATCTTAAATTAAAAACAAAAGATTTGTCCATAAAACGCTATTTTCGTCACTATTATTGCAGTATATTTTATCACTCTCAATTCATGTGATGTATATGGCATTTATGCATGCCTAAGTACAATCCAAGAGGAAGTACTAATTACTACTATAGTTAATGTCACAATCATTTATTAACTATTGACATTAAACTAAATACCAATATTTAGCTGTATCAACTTGATAGTAATAGCTAGCAACCAGTTGAAACGAGAACTAAATAATATTGAATATGGAATTTGTGGCTATTCAACATATGTACAATAAACACATAGAATGACAATTAAAAATGTTAAAGAATTATTATTACAATAATAAGATAGGTTGATTAGTACGAACTTTCAAAATGGAATATATATGATCATGTACTTGGTCAGTTGGTTACATTACTCTCAGAATCAATAATGTGTGAATCATTTCATCAGATTATTATCAAATGATCATTGTACATTTTTAATCTCCCCTAATTTTTTTTTTAAAAATATGTAGCTATATGAATGGAATTGATGATCGATCATTTCAACTTAACGGATGGATATTATTCTTAAATTTTATTATTCAATTAATATCTACATCAAAAATAAATTTCTTCAATAATGAATCATGTTGTTTCAACCATCCAGCATGGTGTTCACAACGTTCTAATCATCATGATATTCCTAATAATGATGATATTTGTTCATCTGATTTTCTTTGTAAACGTTTATCTGGAATTTTAAATGAACTCAGAAATGCAATAATGGTAAGATTAAAAAAGAAGAAAATAAATTTAACTGAGGAAAAAATTGTACAACTTAAAAAGTAAGTTAGTCGGTTACTAATTATAGTGTGATCATATGAATATGTTGTTTATTAATTTATACTACTGTCATATTTAAAAGTAGTTTAATGTATTTAACGAAAGTACGTATTCTCATGGTTTAATTATCAATGTTTTACGTTGATTTATTTTATCTAGACTATGCACTTTTATAGAATGCCTATGTTGTATTCTTGAAGCATGGATGATTAGTACTCATTCAGTTGGATTGTTGAATTTAGAGAGATTAAGTTGTTTAACACCATCAAATGAATCTTCTGACGGTGCCAGAACTGAGGACATTACAAATATGGAAGAGGGTAGTTCAAAAGAATTGAAACAATATACCTTTGTTACTCAAGATAAATCAGTTGATAATACAAATCCAACAGCTTCTATAATTTCTTCTCTTCTTATACGATTGAAATCTATTACATTAATTGAAGCTTATCAATATTTGTGCCTTCAATTTTGGACTGATCTTAAACCATATGTTAAACAAATTTTACAAAATTCTTCATTTACATCACAATTATCGTCGTTACGAATATAATAATGGATAATAGTTGTATTTATTATCATTTATATCCTTATTTTCATTGTTATTATTAAGTCATATAAACTGTTCCCCATCAAATCTAATTAACAATAATATCATTACACCTATTTTTCTATTTACAATCATTCAGATTGGATTAAATGTGTGAATTCCCTTTTCAGATTTAATAATATATTCAAAAGAGAATATTAGAACTTCAGTCAAATAGTTGACCTATTCATTTGTTGCTTTATATTCACTGTCGCAGACTCTATCTCTCATCCAATATCTAGGCATTCAGTTAAATAGTGTACCGCTAAAGTCATCATTATCTACTGAGTATTCTTTGAACTTTAGTCTATAAATCTGTATTCAATCAATGGATTATATGAATTTTCGAATTAGATAAATGATGATAAAAACGGTTGGTCATTTGACCTCTGTATCTTGTAGTATTGCGTCTTGTGTGTGTATGTTTTTATATTTGTAAAGATTATCCAATATTTCTATCATTTTAACATGTAATGATATAAATGTGCTTTCATGCATGATTTTGTTTTTCTTATTATTGTACAATCGTGATATATTTGCTATTCGTTATCGTTTTTTCATAACCCTTTCATTCTTTTTTTATCTATACCTTACTCGTCACTCAATTCTTTTATCATTGTTCTACGCTGTAGCAAACAAAGTTTATCCTGACTATTTTTTCACCCTTAATTTTGGTGTGTTTTTTTCTGTTTCTACTGTTCAAACTAACTTATGATAATTTGTTCAATTTATTGATTTCAGAGGTGCAGATATATTTATGCGTTTGTAAGTTTGTTTATAATTTTGGCACAGTAGCCTGAATATGAGATCAAGTCTGAGGGGGTTTATGTCTCAGAATGGAAATGATACCTTTAAATATTTTTCAAGCTAAAATGCAATTGTCTATATTTTCCAGCTCACAAGTCATTAGCTTCAGATAATGGAGTATATCAGTTACCATTTTACCACTTACTTAGTTGATTGCGTCGATCATTGTCATCTAGTACACACTGGATTTAGTTTTTCTCTAAGGAATATTCACAATCGATATGACCACGAGTACTGACCGCTGTTATGTTCCTATAGTTGTTTACTGCTGATGAAACTCCATCGACCAAGTTACGATGACGATACTAGTCTAAGTGACTCGGGACATAACGTGCACTATCTTTTTATATTTGATGGCTGGAGGTAGTCGATATTAAACTCTGGGCCTAGGTCTTGTACAATAAACTAGCTTAATTCTCTAAAGGTATTACAACATTAGTTCTCAAAAAATGATCTATAACAAAACTGATTTTGTACAACCAAAAATGCCTGATGCCGAAGTTCAACCAAAACAGTTGGCTTTGGTATTCAATACTTAGATTTCATTTCAAACTATTCATTCGGTTTAATAGATAAAGAATAAATTTTGCTTAAAAACCACAGTTTCTTTAAACTTCTGGAAAACTCATGTTTATTATTTGTAAGGAAAGAAATCAATTCACTTGATCAACATGTCTCTATCTCGGATTTTATGCTTTGATATAGTTTGAACGAAAATCACTAATTCATAAGTTATCTTAGGAAAATAGTTCCATCCAAAGAATCTTTTAGGGAATTTTAAGCTTACGACTGAGGTACATCTGAATTTTCAAAATCAAAAGACGCTATTAATCTGGGATACGATACTATAAGAGACAAAGACATGAATAATAAAGTTTACAAACATAAAGTCGTGAGGTGTCCAGACATCGGTAACTACATTAAAGTCACAGTCAACAGGGAAGTGAATCTTTCAGATACATGAATAGGAATTGGATTACAACACGCCATAAAATAGGGAACAATATGGCTGTATCAAATAAATACCAACAATTAACGTACTAAATTAAGCGCCACCCCTTTAAAATATGCAAGCTGCTCAGAATGAACAAATTTTAAATAACTAACGTGCATAAAAGTGAAAATAGTTTGAGACATTGGATAAAAATCGAAATATTTAGTGTTAACGGAACATTACACCAGGGAACCATCAAACTTTACGAGTCTCAAAATTATTGTTAGTGATCAGCTACTGCATGTTAATAAGTAGTATAGTTGAAAAACAAGTGGGAAGTCAGAAAATGTTCAGTACTAAGCGGAATTGTCACTGTCTAATGGTTCAGTTTATTGATTATCTAATGTACAACCTTTAATAAAGGGGGTCAGTAGAGAGGAGAAATATTTTTTTACAACATTTGTTATGACCCTATATGTTAATTTATGTCTTAAACTATGCGACGTCGTAGGCGCCTACTATTAAACAGTCCCATATTAAGACGAAACGGCCGTTCAATCCTTCCAGGTTTTTAATGGTGGTCTAGCTAAGATCAGTTCGCAACCGGATTCAACTTCAATCATTTGTTATTGTGATAAATAACGACGCTGTGAATTACAATGAAGCTGTAAAAATAATATTAAGTGCCTAACGAAATCATTATAGGATGAAATTAATTAGAATGATAACAGTGATATTAATCGATAATTGATTTCATTATTCGTATCATGAAGTAAACTTGATTATACAATTGTTGGAAATCATGAATCACCGGACAGTTGCATCGTTTTAGTATGGTGCTCATTAGGAATGTTCATCAACAACCCCATCAGAAACTATACCCAAACCCTCGGGTTTCACAGCAGGCGCTTAATTTTAAGGCCATCTAGAAATGTACACAACTAACTTCAACCAACCACTTGGTACCAACCGAATGGTTTGAAGGTTAACTGCTCGCTGCAAAACCAAAGAGTATGGAGATCAGTCTTGTATGGGGTTATAAATATAGACCTCCAAAGAATCCTCAAATTGCTGTTCAACGAACCCTGGTATTTAACGGTTTTCTGACTATGTTCAGTCCATAGTGTAAACTATAGGGACATATCAATCATCACCTAAGAGCAATTTAGGGAAAAAGGTAAAGGTGAGATAATAGATTATTTGAAACTCTATCCACGTAACGAAATAACTTTACGTATTTCTTATGAACATAGGCTTTTACTTTTGTTGAATTCGGTTCTGAAAAATTCAGACTAAAACATTTCTGTTTCCAGCTCGAATCATAATCACCCTTTTTTTAATCCTAACTTTCTTGTCAACTTAATCAGTTTGAAATACTTTGTCGTTAACTTTTCCGTGAAACGTTCTCGTGCAAGAACGATAGGTCCTGGGTTCGAATCTCATTAGGTGGGATCTTGAATGAACACTGCTGAGGAGTCCTGTACTAGGACGTAAAGGCCGTCCAGTACTTTCAGGTTTTCTATAATGGTCTAGCTTTAATTGACTCATGATCTCAACTGTTGAAATTACTATAATATCCACAAAAACCGCTTCTGATACTAATTAGAATTATGTCTAAAATAGGACAGTAGAGTACAAAAAAATATAAAATACAAGAAATACGTTTAGATTACAATAATTCGAAATGGAAGTGAATACGACAATAGTCTATAAATTAGTCGAAATCTTCTGATTTATCTAATAAAACTATCATATTGACTTATATATTTCCAGTTCAGTGAAATAACATTCCAAGAGATACCTTTCATTGTTTATCACTTCTTCTTCATTCTTCTTCTCGTTGCATCATTATTCTAATTTAACTGGGTTTTATTCACTAAATGATGATGTTTGTTTTAGTGTATCTTATCTCTCACCTTCTTTTCTTTTTTTTAATAATCATTCATACAGCTCCTAATGAAATTTCGCCAAAAGATCGTTTCTTTGGTATATATGAAATTTATTCACATATTTATTTCTTACAAAATAAATTAGATTTCCTACATTCTGATTTATTCATATCTATGTGTATACAGAATAGTTTACATTTACCATTACTATTTATCATATTATGTCGATTAAATTACTTATATCGGTCGATGAATAATAGTACATTGTCAACCATTCATGAAGAACATAATATGATTATTGCTGATAGTATGCATTGGCTACATTCTATAGGAATTTAGTAAGTTTACATGTTTATCGATTGTTTGTTTATTACATGCATGTGTCTTTTTGGAATTGAATGTGATCAGTTTAAAAGGAAATTTCTTTACCAACAACTAATGTTAAGTAGCAAATCATTGAAAACTATAGAGTACTTGATATTCAATTCGTTCTACTAGATATGCAATAAAAGCACTCTTCTTCCAATCGATACGTCAAAAGTTCTATCCATGATATTCATTTATTTTATATTTTGAGCAGTTGACTAGTATCACTAGTCATCGTTACTCGTAACATTAGTGGATATTTATCTTAATTCAGAAACGATTGAACTACTTATTTTTCTGGGTTTTCTTTTCTTTTGTCAAAAAGTTTTACATATTGGTTAGCGTTAAAACCTAGAAAGTACACTTCAACCTATTTGAAATCAGTCAGCTAAAATATGATTATAACTTTGTGATTGTGTTAGTCAGCTTCATTGAGGATCATACTCATACAAATCGTGTGATTTTCTAAATGTTAGTATTGCTTACATATCCCCTCTCTCAGCTAATATTAGCGTTAAATAGATCATTGAAAAAGATTTATTTCTAAACTGTGTTCATATTCTTTTTGATTATTTTGATAGTTATCAACAACGGAAATCTTAATTCTCAATTTTGTATACCGTTTACACCAATCAATGATCATTAGTCAGTCATATGCAATGTAGAACCTGACACATATCCATCACCCCAAGTTACCGATCCCCAATGGCACAGCAAGATAAAAGTATCAAGTTATTTCCCGGAATAGTAGAAGCAGTAAGACTATCAGTAATAACAGAAAATATTGGATGTAGCAAGAAAAGAAACAATATGTTATAAGCAAAATTTAAGATTCTAGAAATAGGCGGAGTTAAAGGATGAACACAATTTTGCCATTGTGGATAATTCTGAGCCATGTTATCCAGTATCTCAAACTATTAGTTGTGATATGCGTGCGGATCCCAATCCAGTTATCTACACCTACCTATATGTCTAAGTCTGGCTGACTTCGCAGACTGGTCCAACATTTTGGTTTGGCCACACCTTCCTTTCTTTCAGATAATTCTTACACTAGTCAACATTGGCTGTCGAGGTACATAGCGGTCAGGCATACTTAACATACATCCCAGATGATGATTTACTACCTCATCAACCGATTAACCATCTTCACGTAGTATCCTGTGTCTAACTTCTCGATTGCTCATTTAGTAGTTCCAAGATATATGAACAGTGGCTCGGAGATATTTATGATCGAACACTAGTAACCTACGAATATACTCTACTCTTAATCGCCATTCTTCATACTTATAAAATAGATGAGAGCGGACTTTTGAGCAGTAAACTCCCCTCTGGCACAAGTGACGCCAGTTGCCCAAAACGAACCTAACTTTCTGAATTCATTCTAAGTTTTTTTTTAGACACCAGCTGTTAAATCTTTGGTTATCTGATCCAGTTGTCTTTATTATTTAGTATTCTTCAGACACTGCCTAACTCAGCTAGTCCCCAAGATCAGAACACGGCTTAGACAGAAACGTAATTATATTTAAAAGTAAATCAACTTAAATGAGAGTGAATTTATAGTAAGAAAAATGTTAGTATATTTATAATTTTACTCAAGGCGATTCTAGAGCGGCTAAGAGTTGACCCATCAGTGTGCTTCAACATACTCGTATGTGTAACATGCTTTAATCCAATCTATTTCCTGCTAACACCAACCATCTAGGATTTATGAGACTTTTGAGATAGATGTTATGGTCGAAGCAATCAACTACTTCACTCCCTATCATTTATTTAGGCGCAATCAGTTGCTGAGTAGTAACCAGTGTTTTATTTTTCAGACGTAAGTGCTGAACAACGTCACATTGATTACTATTCATTGGTTGGTTAGTGTTGACGTGTATTTTTTTACATAATTGGTCGTTCATATTCTGACTATTAACTCATTAGTAACGTCTCTGATTTGAAACTGGGCGGTATTGGTTGGAACCAAAACGATTGAGTTACGCAAAAATCTTAAATTAAAAACAAAAGATTTGTCCATAAAACGCTATTTTCGTCACTATTATTGCAGTATATTTTATCACTCTCAATTCATGTGATGTATATGGCATTTATGCATGCCTAAGTACAATCCAAGAGGAAGTACTAATTACTACTATAGTTAATGTCACAATCATTTATTAACTATTGACATTAAACTAAATACCAATATTTAGCTGTATCAACTTGATAGTAATAGCTAGCAACCAGTTGAAACGAGAACTAAATAATATTGAATATGGAATTTGTGGCTATTCAACATATGTACAATAAACACATAGAATGACAATTAAAAATGTTAAAGAATTATTATTACAATAATAAGATAGGTTGATTAGTACGAACTTTCAAAATGGAATATATATGATCATGTACTTGGTCAGTTGGTTACATTACTCTCAGAATCAATAATGTGTGAATCATTTCATCAGATTATTATCAAATGATCATTGTACATTTTTAATCTCCCCTAATTTTTTTTTTAAAAATATGTAGCTATATGAATGGAATTGATGATCGATCATTTCAACTTAACGGATGGATATTATTCTTAAATTTTATTATTCAATTAATATCTACATCAAAAATAAATTTCTTCAATAATGAATCATGTTGTTTCAACCATCCAGCATGGTGTTCACAACGTTCTAATCATCATGATATTCCTAATAATGATGATATTTGTTCATCTGATTTTCTTTGTAAACGTTTATCTGGAATTTTAAATGAACTCAGAAATGCAATAATGGTAAGATTAAAAAAGAAGAAAATAAATTTAACTGAGGAAAAAATTGTACAACTTAAAAAGTAAGTTAGTCGGTTACTAATTATAGTGTGATCATATGAATATGTTGTTTATTAATTTATACTACTGTCATATTTAAAAGTAGTTTAATGTATTTAACGAAAGTACGTATTCTCATGGTTTAATTATCAATGTTTTACGTTGATTTATTTTATCTAGACTATGCACTTTTATAGAATGCCTATGTTGTATTCTTGAAGCATGGATGATTAGTACTCATTCAGTTGGATTGTTGAATTTAGAGAGATTAAGTTGTTTAACACCATCAAATGAATCTTCTGACGGTGCCAGAACTGAGGACATTACAAATATGGAAGAGGGTAGTTCAAAAGAATTGAAACAATATACCTTTGTTACTCAAGATAAATCAGTTGATAATACAAATCCAACAGCTTCTATAATTTCTTCTCTTCTTATACGATTGAAATCTATTACATTAATTGAAGCTTATCAATATTTGTGCCTTCAATTTTGGACTGATCTTAAACCATATGTTAAACAAATTTTACAAAATTCTTCATTTACATCACAATTATCGTCGTTACGAATATAATAATGGATAATAGTTGTATTTATTATCATTTATATCCTTATTTTCATTGTTATTATTAAGTCATATAAACTGTTCCCCATCAAATCTAATTAACAATAATATCATTACACCTATTTTTCTATTTACAATCATTCAGATTGGATTAAATGTGTGAATTCCCTTTTCAGATTTAATAATATATTCAAAAGAGAATATTAGAACTTCAGTCAAATAGTTGACCTATTCATTTGTTGCTTTATATTCACTGTCGCAGACTCTATCTCTCATCCAATATCTAGGCATTCAGTTAAATAGTGTACCGCTAAAGTCATCATTATCTACTGAGTATTCTTTGAACTTTAGTCTATAAATCTGTATTCAATCAATGGATTATATGAATTTTCGAATTAGATAAATGATGATAAAAACGGTTGGTCATTTGACCTCTGTATCTTGTAGTATTGCGTCTTGTGTGTGTATGTTTTTATATTTGTAAAGATTATCCAATATTTCTATCATTTTAACATGTAATGATATAAATGTGCTTTCATGCATGATTTTGTTTTTCTTATTATTGTACAATCGTGATATATTTGCTATTCGTTATCGTTTTTTCATAACCCTTTCATTCTTTTTTTATCTATACCTTACTCGTCACTCAATTCTTTTATCATTGTTCTACGCTGTAGCAAACAAAGTTTATCCTGACTATTTTTTCACCCTTAATTTTGGTGTGTTTTTTTCTGTTTCTACTGTTCAAACTAACTTATGATAATTTGTTCAATTTATTGATTTCAGAGGTGCAGATATATTTATGCGTTTGTAAGTTTGTTTATAATTTTGGCACAGTAGCCTGAATATGAGATCAAGTCTGAGGGGGTTTATGTCTCAGAATGGAAATGATACCTTTAAATATTTTTCAAGCTAAAATGCAATTGTCTATATTTTCCAGCTCACAAGTCATTAGCTTCAGATAATGGAGTATATCAGTTACCATTTTACCACTTACTTAGTTGATTGCGTCGATCATTGTCATCTAGTACACACTGGATTTAGTTTTTCTCTAAGGAATATTCACAATCGATATGACCACGAGTACTGACCGCTGTTATGTTCCTATAGTTGTTTACTGCTGATGAAACTCCATCGACCAAGTTACGATGACGATACTAGTCTAAGTGACTCGGGACATAACGTGCACTATCTTTTTATATTTGATGGCTGGAGGTAGTCGATATTAAACTCTGGGCCTAGGTCTTGTACAATAAACTAGCTTAATTCTCTAAAGGTATTACAACATTAGTTCTCAAAAAATGATCTATAACAAAACTGATTTTGTACAACCAAAAATGCCTGATGCCGAAGTTCAACCAAAACAGTTGGCTTTGGTATTCAATACTTAGATTTCATTTCAAACTATTCATTCGGTTTAATAGATAAAGAATAAATTTTGCTTAAAAACCACAGTTTCTTTAAACTTCTGGAAAACTCATGTTTATTATTTGTAAGGAAAGAAATCAATTCACTTGATCAACATGTCTCTATCTCGGATTTTATGCTTTGATATAGTTTGAACGAAAATCACTAATTCATAAGTTATCTTAGGAAAATAGTTCCATCCAAAGAATCTTTTAGGGAATTTTAAGCTTACGACTGAGGTACATCTGAATTTTCAAAATCAAAAGACGCTATTAATCTGGGATACGATACTATAAGAGACAAAGACATGAATAATAAAGTTTACAAACATAAAGTCGTGAGGTGTCCAGACATCGGTAACTACATTAAAGTCACAGTCAACAGGGAAGTGAATCTTTCAGATACATGAATAGGAATTGGATTACAACACGCCATAAAATAGGGAACAATATGGCTGTATCAAATAAATACCAACAATTAACGTACTAAATTAAGCGCCACCCCTTTAAAATATGCAAGCTGCTCAGAATGAACAAATTTTAAATAACTAACGTGCATAAAAGTGAAAATAGTTTGAGACATTGGATAAAAATCGAAATATTTAGTGTTAACGGAACATTACACCAGGGAACCATCAAACTTTACGAGTCTCAAAATTATTGTTAGTGATCAGCTACTGCATGTTAATAAGTAGTATAGTTGAAAAACAAGTGGGAAGTCAGAAAATGTTCAGTACTAAGCGGAATTGTCACTGTCTAATGGTTCAGTTTATTGATTATCTAATGTACAACCTTTAATAAAGGGGGTCAGTAGAGAGGAGAAATATTTTTTTACAACATTTGTTATGACCCTATATGTTAATTTATGTCTTAAACTATGCGACGTCGTAGGCGCCTACTATTAAACAGTCCCATATTAAGACGAAACGGCCGTTCAATCCTTCCAGGTTTTTAATGGTGGTCTAGCTAAGATCAGTTCGCAACCGGATTCAACTTCAATCATTTGTTATTGTGATAAATAACGACGCTGTGAATTACAATGAAGCTGTAAAAATAATATTAAGTGCCTAACGAAATCATTATAGGATGAAATTAATTAGAATGATAACAGTGATATTAATCGATAATTGATTTCATTATTCGTATCATGAAGTAAACTTGATTATACAATTGTTGGAAATCATGAATCACCGGACAGTTGCATCGTTTTAGTATGGTGCTCATTAGGAATGTTCATCAACAACCCCATCAGAAACTATACCCAAACCCTCGGGTTTCACAGCAGGCGCTTAATTTTAAGGCCATCTAGAAATGTACACAACTAACTTCAACCAACCACTTGGTACCAACCGAATGGTTTGAAGGTTAACTGCTCGCTGCAAAACCAAAGAGTATGGAGATCAGTCTTGTATGGGGTTATAAATATAGACCTCCAAAGAATCCTCAAATTGCTGTTCAACGAACCCTGGTATTTAACGGTTTTCTGACTATGTTCAGTCCATAGTGTAAACTATAGGGACATATCAATCATCACCTAAGAGCAATTTAGGGAAAAAGGTAAAGGTGAGATAATAGATTATTTGAAACTCTATCCACGTAACGAAATAACTTTACGTATTTCTTATGAACATAGGCTTTTACTTTTGTTGAATTCGGTTCTGAAAAATTCAGACTAAAACATTTCTGTTTCCAGCTCGAATCATAATCACCCTTTTTTTAATCCTAACTTTCTTGTCAACTTAATCAGTTTGAAATACTTTGTCGTTAACTTTTCCGTGAAACGTTCTCGTGCAAGAACGATAGGTCCTGGGTTCGAATCTCATTAGGTGGGATCTTGAATGAACACTGCTGAGGAGTCCTGTACTAGGACGTAAAGGCCGTCCAGTACTTTCAGGTTTTCTATAATGGTCTAGCTTTAATTGACTCATGAATTCAACTATTAGACAGAATAAATTGTGTTGTGTTTTTTTTTGTTTGGTTTGAAAATTTTTTTCAAAGCGGAATTTTCAATCATCCCTTCATCATTGTCATTAATTCTTCTTTGTTGTTGACTAATTATTAGAACTAATATTGATGTCAATTTTATGGATATTTGACATTTTGTTTACTTAAAATCTGTTTACATTTTATACCACATTAATAACAGAGTAATAATTAATCTTTATGCAAAAAATATAAAGAAAAACAAATGGGTATGTTCAATGAATAATATGCGTAAATGTATGTGTAAATCAATCATCGGGTACAAACTATTATTATTATTATTATTATTATTATTATTATTATTATTATTATTATTATTATACGATTACGGTCAGTACGTGAGAAAACCATCCTCAATGGAAAAGTTAAGGTATATGAAAGGTACTTTATGTTGCTAGGAAATGAATAACTGACTATACGACTATTATTATTATCATTATTATTATTATTGTTACATTTCAATCTAACAATTATCATAATCAAAACAATAGTAAGTAACATGATAAATAATGGCCTGGTTCCCATACTATTATGAATATTGTTATTATTATTACTATTATTATTATTATTATTATTATTATTATTATTATTATTAGTAGTAGTAGTAGTAGTAGTAGTAGTAGTAGTAGTAGTAGTATTACAGCTACTTGTCAAGAAGCTTTTTAATTCACATTCACAATTTAGTCTATTAATCTAGTTTACAGATACTGTCTCTTCTTACTGACAAGTATTAACCAATATAAAACTTCAATCTAAGATTTCTTTAATTAAAGAATGATCTGACCTCTTCAATTCGATACATTAAACATTTGATATGAATGACTTTCCTAGTTTAATTATGAATTTCATTAGAAATCTATTGAATGAAATTAGAAAGTGAGAGCATAAACGAATTTTTCAACTTGGTTCATATACTAAAAGAACATTGATGCTGGATCTGTAGAAACTTTTAGGATAGATACTAAATTTAACAATAAGTACTTGATACTTATAAGTCGTCAGATTGAAGAAGATCAAAATCACTGTATTCTAGATTTCTTTCAGAGGTTAGTTTACGGCTTCTAGAAAAGTTATTTAACAGCTATGAATGTCTCTTGATAAAGCCAGATACAAGTTCACATACTCAATGTTAAAATAAATCTTTTTTCAATAAGGCCTTGAATTATCTCGTTGTTGATATTCAGAACTATAACTGGTCAGTCTCTATTACTATATGTATAGCTTCAACGGATTGCTTTGATATATCGTTATGTCACAAGTTTTTAATAGATTTGATAAGTAGATAGTAGTAAAAGCCCGGACATTCGTTTTGTCCTACTTAGAACTTGTCATTTTGATGAACCTAACACATCTTTGTGTTTTTATTCACACTGAAATTCAGTAGCTCAGTGGATAACGTGGTAGTTGTTTAAAACAACAGCTACTTGGTCCAAATTTCAGAGTGAGAATCAACACGGCGATTCAGGCACATCCAAATGACAAATCCTGACTTGTACAGTTTTCATTTTCTAAGAAATTTCTAGTTACGATTCATATATACCATATATAGTAGATCCTTTTCATTCTTTTTAATCCCTATTCATTCAAAACACAAATTTTTATTTGAAGATTTACTGGAAT